CCCAGTAAGTTTTCGTGTGTTTGTTTATCCCTGCGTTTACGAAACTATCGACAGCGTTGTTCAACTGGGAATCCAATACTGAGACTCGTTTGCCTATTCTTCCGAACCATCAGCGAGTCACGTACCCCTATAGTGGTAGTGTCGTTCTATTGCCCATGAAACCTGGCAATGGGTATCAGCCCGAGGTCCTTGTATGCGGCGGCTCTCAAACAAGGTATGTGCGCTTTCGCATTCGTCGAACGTGTGTAATCAATTTGATGTATTGGGTGTTGAAGCGAAACAGATCCGACAAAGCTTTCTTCTAGCACGCCTGCGAGTGCCCAGTGTTCCCGTATGGTCCTCACGCCCGAAGGTATCAAGAAGGGATGGGCGGTCGAAACGATGCCTGAACCGCGCAGTGAGCTTCTAACCTTTGCTAAACGCCCTGTGATGGTATCTGACCATGTGAATCTTAGCTATGCACAGCACGGTGTTGTTGCCCAATGGCAAAGTTCTCATCGTCAACGGCGCAAAGAGCGGTACAGCCGGATACGGAAACGTCCAAAACCAGGTTGGAGCATCGAATGCGGATAATCCTGCGTTGCAGCCGGTGATCTATGATCCTGATGCGCCTGCCGGACAACGGTTTTCGAGCGAGGGGTTGCCCACATCGGATATTCCTAGAATGTATCACTCGACTGCGTAAGTGCTGTTTGACTGTGTGTGCTGAGCCATGTTGGGCTGAATGTGAGTTGAAAGGGCGCTACTGATGGACGGGAGGGTGTTTATCGCTGGGTCGAATCCGAATCTGGACGTGTCGACTTGGAAGTATCCGACTGAATATCGAGTCGAGATCTTTTCTCCGGTATGGGGGACTTTGAGCTTTCCGAAGATTCGTTGCTTATTGTTTATATAGCCCTACGCCCTTTCAAACCTTCGTCCAATGCTCGTTGGGTTGCCAGGCGTATTAAACTTTAATCGCCCTACAAATCTCAAACTTCAGCTGCCCAAAAGTCTCCAGAAACGTGGTTTGGACCTTGGAACTTGCTCTTGTTTCCTTATGGATATGATGTTCTCTACGCATGGAGTCGAGATGGGTCAACGAATGGTGATGCTCTCGACCGTGTCCTCTGGCCCACTTAGGTTGCCGCTCGATCTTATCCCCCTAACTATTATGGGCCCGCCCAACACGGATGGTAGGTGGTTTGTTCTAGCCTGTTTGTTGTCCGTGTTGAAGAAAGTCCGATAGTTTTCCAACCGGGTCCTGGCATGGTCGGATGTAGTATTGGCGGGATGATAACTGTGATGCAAAAGGTGCTTGTCGGATCTGTTCAACCACCTGTAGATGAGGGTGCGATCGCAAAGTGAGTCTGGAAAGATTCTTTTTTCTGGAATGAGGTTGATTTATTATGCGACAGCCTCCTCAACCAAATCAAGGCGCCGTCGCCTTGAACCGAGACAGATTCTTTTTTTTTTGACTCTGTGGATCATATCATAGGAACGTTGTTACTAATTCTATTTTTACTCAATTATACAAATGGATTTTGAGATTGGCCATATAGGGTGTTGCATTCTCGAATGTGCAGAGCATCGTAAGGGTTCAAGGTGTGAATGTATGCGCGACCCCGCAGTCGAAATTCTGGCCCGTGCCATTGAATCACCTAAGCAGGGCTTACAAGGCAGATAAAGAGATTCAAATGTTGGCGACGGATTTCACGCACAATTGATACCTTGGAAATTGATCGGAGCTTTGGTGTCGGCCGTGGGCTCGATTTCATGAGTTGCCAGGCAGACCAAACCGACGGGATTCGTACTTGCCCGGGCGACGTCTGCTATTCTTAAGTCTTGTGAATGAACAGGACTGCAAGAATAGGTCGAGTGTGAAAGTGAGAGCGTGCGATGGAACACTGGGTGGATCAAACCCACGTGACAACAAGGATCGACGTTGCCACGGCGCCACCACCGGCAGCCGATGTCCTTTGATGGCAGACACCATAAAGCAATGCGCGCCGAGTTCATTCGGCACTCTTTCTCGCCCCTCGCGTTTGTTTCTCTCTCTCCGTCGACGTTTCGTCGACACCACATTCGTTTCTCGCCCATACGACCGCGTCGTGCTCCCGAGGCAATCAACTTGGCTCCCTAGGCGATGGCTTGGCCCCGCTTGCTTCTCCTTCCGTGTCTGGTCGCGTCGACGCGCGCAGCATGGACCTTGACCCAGCCTGGCACCACCGGAATGTGAGTATCTCGACCGCCGCCAATCATTTCAAGCTAAGATATCGTGCAGTGGTGCCATGCAGATGACGGTCGTCGGACCAGACACCGTGATGATCATCGACAAACTCGAGTCGAACCCGCTGTCGACCGACCAGGGCACACACGCGCTCGGCGCGATCTACTCGCTCAAGACCAACACCGTTCGGCCCTTGAACGGGATCACCACCAACAGCTTTTGTGCGGGCGGCGGATGGCTCTCCAACGGCACTAGTGCGTGCCTGGTCCTTTCCCTCTCTGCCGGCGCTTGCTAACCGGGTTTCGTGTGGTCCCGTCTCGGCGGCATCAGTGGTCAACATGGGTGGCAACCCACTCGTCAAGATCGACAATAGCACGGCGCAAAATGGACTCCAGGGTGTTCGGCTCTTTAATCCGTGCAACGAGGGCGAAAAGTGTGATGTCTACGAGGACGCACAGGTGGGCGATCTTTTGTCTTGTTCGGGACAACGCTTACCCTTTGTATGATAGCGAATTCGCCTGACTTCATCTCGATGGTATCCTTCTGGCGCTCGTCTCTCCGACGGGTCTCTTTTAATTATCGGGGGCGCTTTTGGAGGTACGCTTGTTCGGCAAATAGATTCTGCGTTGTCTCACGAGAGAAATGCTCGTAGGTGGGTGGACGAATAACCCCCAACTCAACAACCCCACCTATGAATTTTATCCGCCCAAGAACATCAACGGCTTCAACGGTATGCCAAAATAAACACTTCATCCATCATCACTCATACTCGTCCAGGCCTACAAATTCCTAGCAAGTTCCTCGTCGATAGTAAGTTCTTCAAGGATGGGTTTCTTGCGCCGATACTTATCACTCTCCCAGCTCTTCCCCATAATCTCTTCCCTCACGTATTCGCTCTACCAAATGGTCAAGTTTTCGTCGCCGCCAATAACAAGACCAGTTCGTGTTTCATCTCTATTTGCTGCCAGTCTATTCATTTGATTCCAGTGATGCTCGATTGGCAACGCAACCTCGAGACCCGCCTTCCTGACCTCCCCAACGGACAACGATGTACCTATCCCATGAGCGGCACAGCGATCATGCTCCCTCTCCGCTACGAAAATGGTTGGGCACCAGAGATCATCATCTGCGGTGGCTCCGAGGTCTCGTGAGTCCACTCATTTCAATGGTCAACCCAACCATCCAACGACTTGGGTAGCGACACGGTCCCTGAGACGGAGCTTAGCACCACTACACCCGCTAGCGCCCAATGCTCACGTATGGTTCTCAATGCAAGTGGCATCAGGAAGGTTCGTACGTCAATTCGGCGTGGAGGGTTCTAGGCTGATCGACGTATGCAACTCACTCGATGGATCGACGCCCGGGCTGTTCATGTCTTCCTTCCGTCGTGGCTGTTTGTTTTTCCGACTGGATCGGCGATTAGGGCTGGCAAGTGGAGAAGATGCCTCAGGCGCGAAGTACGTCTCATGGGTCTTCTCATCCTGGTCGTTCCTGATGGCGTATTCTTTCCTGTAGTGATGCCGGATAGTCTACTCCTCCCGGATGGAAAGGTCTTGATTCTGAATGGAGCGGCAGGCGGAACCGCGGGATACGGCAACGTGCAGAACCAGGTCGGGCTGTCCAATGCCGATGGACCAGTGCTCCAGCCTACGCTCTATGATCCTCAGGCTCAGCCCGGACAACGCTTCTCGAATGCTGGGTTGCCGACTTCGGACATTGCGAGAATGTATCATTCTGTTGCGTGCGTATTTATTTTCTTATCGGTTTTAGGGTCGTCGAGCTGATTTTAGATTCTTAGAACGTTGACACCCAAGGGCACAGTCTTGATCGCTGGCTCGAATCCCAACGACAACGTCGAGACACGCATGTACCCAACCGAATTCAGAGCCGAGATCCTCTCGCCCGACTATCTCTCCAAACCTCGGGCGACGATGGTGAACTATCCTCAAACACTTCGGTATGCGCGTCGAGCGAGCGCGACGATCTCGATGCCGTTGGGTCGTCACAAGCGCGGATTCTTTTTCAAAAAGGTCGAGGTGGTGTTGATGGATCTCGGATTCTCGACGCATGGTGTTCATATGGATCAACGCATGGTGACGTTGCCTGCGGTGATGATGGGTCGCAAGTTGGTCACCTTTACTGGACCCCCAAATGCGAATGGTGAGCTGTGTATTTTTCATATTCTGGGTTTGGGCTGACGAGGTTTGGATGTGAGTGTATCCTCCTGGTCCGGCTTGGCTTTATATTGTTATCGATGGTGTACCAACCGAGGGTATGAAGGTGATGGTCGGTGACGGACAGAGCCCGCCTGTGGATCCCGGCGCAATTGCCAAGTGAGCTTTATTTCGTTCGAAATGTTGTGGTCACAGACTGATATTCGAATAGTATGCTTGCCAAGACTGGCAATCCGTAATTCTTCGACTTTCTACTTTACATTTTTAGGACCCTTTTTTATTTCGGACACGATTTGACGAACGGACTTTTTTGGAATGTACCACTCACTCTCTCGTTTTCGTCTCACTCTTTACGGACCCCTTTTCGTGTTGTTCCGGACTCTAATTTGGTACTTTTGGGACTCGGGTTGAATGGTTTCGGACACCTTTAAAGTGTAATGTACTTACTAGAATGACGCTGGTGTAATCGAAAGTAAACACAGACGCGATTTGCGTATGGACAGCGTTTATTCCTCTTTGGGGCCACATATATGCTTGGTGCCACGACAAGTCCGGGCGGGCGGCTCAAGAGAAATGCTGGCTACAAATGGGATAACTCAAGTGAGACGCCAGCTCAAGGGCGCGTAGTGGAGTGGTTACCACGTTGGTCTTCGACACCTCGTGTGATTTTGCAAACCAAAGTTCGTCGGTTCGATCCCGGCCGTGCTCATTGTTTTGAACTTTTGTACGGCCAGCCAATGCGCAGTATCTCAATCCAAAAATAGATTAGTCCCTCCTGAGGCGGCACTTGGGCCAGCTTGGTGCCGTCGCAATCTATCAGCAACGCCGATCACTGGAAATTAAGATTTGATGCCTCGATAGTTAAAGTCAGACCACGCAGAATCATCCAGTCCGAACGAGCGATTTACATCTTGTCCACCCAGTTACGTACCTCTTTATTTGGTGCAAGTAAACTTTGGGGATGTCCGTTTTCATCGATCTGCGGCTGACTTCATGAGGCTGTGTGGTCTGTTTTCATTGTGGCTGAGAACACGATGCTACCCGAGACTCAAAGGTATTCGTACCAACATTTATTCGAGAGATTAGACACCGGGGATGATCGTTAGACACCATGCTCTTTGGCTATTCCCGGGTATTTCACGGTTTGCCACGCCTCAGCTCGCCTGCAATGATGGAATCTTGCCACGTTTGTCTTCAATCTAGGTGTGTACTGCCTTGACGCTCAATGATGGAACTGCTTCAGAGTTATGCCAGGAGGCAGAACTGTGATTACGTAGGAGCAGATAGACCCAACAACGCTCTATCGGACGTGTGTAATCAAAGCTTCGCATATAGCCTAAGCATTCATCAGGTATTAACTGGCAATGCATGTAACCAGCTTTTAGCTCCGGCGCGTCCTTTTTTCGGAAGGATACGGACAGACTTACCGCTTAGTGGCACCGATTGTGATAACGGCTCGGTGGCTCACCGGGTTCCCAAGCCAAATCTCAGCACAGGCGCCTTATTTGGTCGCACCCCACTCATATGGGCCCCTTTATTCACAGTAAGAGTGGCTAGAGTAACAGCCCATCGTGTAATCTCTCTCGCGCTGCAAAGTCCCCTAAACATACCCTGAATGATATAAAATGCTAGCCTGGGCTCATCGATTTCGCCACCAGTTCAGTCATATTATTCTAAAATCCACAGTCCACTTCTTTCAAAGACCAATCCATCAGTTCAGGGATGTCTCTCACCCCCACAGACGATCTTGTATCTTTCTTCATGCTCGGTCAGGATGGTCACAGACATCTTGAGCAGAAGATTGATAGTGTCTGCGTCAATGGCCCCTCGGAAATCAACGGCTCTGTCGATGACTGGTGCCTGGTCTTCTATAGTTCTAGACTCGTATGGTACTTGAGGTTCAAATCCCATTCACCTATAGAACTCCGGTCTATCACTTCCTCTTCGTCGAGAGAGTTTCACGAGAAAGGATTCGGCGAAGAGCGCTGTAAACACATCCAGATGGATAGATTCCGGCTCACTCCCACCGTGACACTCTACCACGTCCTGGACTTGGTTTACAGATACAATCGTAGCTTCGTGCGTCCAACTTCTGGTCGCGGCCACAGATCATTTTGTCTAAGAGTTTTGGCCACCCTTGTGGAAGCGCAACTACTAGGACAGGCTAGTCTCGAACGTGCTGCGAGTTTTATGAAAGAGAGGTCGGCGTTGGGCCCTGAAATACATAACCTTTATCCCCATAGACATGTTGTAAGTGTCCTTGAAACAACCAAAGGACTTTAGCTCACTCTCTTCCTAGTGACTTGCTATCAAACTCAGCCGAGATAATGCTACCCTAGAGGCTTCATGGTGGCGTGGTTTGAGATATATTAAGCTTCTCATAATTCAATTTGTCTTTCATTACAGCGTGTAAGAACGCCAGCTGCTCTTAGAAGACAACATGAATCTTCAATTTTTCTATGTCCTATTCAAATGTGCGTCAGCTCTCCAGACTCGACTGTTCTGGATTCTAGACGCACGCGAGAACCTTGGAATATGGTTTGCATCTCTAAGAAAAAGCTACCTTAAGTGCTTTAATCTGATCATCCCGGATAGTTCGGGCAAGCTCGCAAACCTTCAGGTCATTAGCATGGTGTGTATTCAGTCGGCATAAGCATGCTTACTCCATCGGCTTGTATCAAGAGATGAGTTGCTTCTATGATAACACAGGCTTGAGAATATGTATACCAGCACTGAATCCACGTACTGTAGTAAGTCTTGAGTTCAACAGGAACACCATGTTTCCGTAGCTTTTCTGCGTAACGTTCCCCGTCACTTCTAAGTACGTCGAGTTCCGCGATACTGATCCACGCTCGAGGCATCCCTTCGAATGCTTCGTTGTTTTTCTGAAAAAGGGGGGATGCATCGGGAAGGGTTCGATCGCTACTTTTGGGTGTATGCAAGTTTCGAGACCAAATTACGTCACGCGCATATAGTTCAAGTACGTTGGCGTTCTCTCGCATGGATGGTGACCAAGTGGATGGATCATCAGTGGGAGTAAGATCTACGATTGGCATGAGCAGAATTTGTGCACACAGCTTGATTTGAGGGCGCGATGACGTTGCTCGCTGAGCGAGCGCAGCTGCCATGTTCGCCCCGCTATCCCGGATAATCAGACTAACTTTCGTGCCGGCACGGGAGGACGTACGATGAGTAACCACATACCGCCACCATATTTCTGTTCGGGTTATATTTTGCACTGCCATCACTAAAGACCCATGTTAAGGCAGACCAAGAATCTTCGAGCGCAGTGGGAAAGGTGTGCTCAGGAGCAAGTCGATAGTCCACGGACACAACCATGCATCTCACCTCTAAATATGGTTAATTAATTACATAAATTTAACAAAGAGTCACAACTTGCCCATGCAGATGCGTGTGTAAAACGATTCTCCGGTTCGAGACGTCCCGAACAACCAGCCGCCCCCGTGAAAATATATTAGCACGGGCCAACCTGAGCTAGGAGGCAGGCCGTCAGGCAAGAGAACTCTCAGTGAGAACTCTCCTATATTGACATCCTCGGCAAATCCGACCGGGATTGCTCCTTCCTTTCCAGATGTGTTTGAATTAACCATTTCGCGAAATTTTGAGCTCCACTGCATTTTATACAGCGGAGAACGTGATGCTTCGGGTTGAGATGTAACAAAACTCTTGTATTCAGGATCGAGTCTCTCAAGTACCCAAGGAGGGATCTTTGTTGTGGGCTCTTCTGGGTCCGAGAAGGGCGGAGTCATCTTTGTACCGGCTGTTGGATTCGGAATAACTAGGCGAGGTTGAGATATGTTAGAAATGAGACTGGCCAGTCGTGGTCGAGTATATGTGACCTGGCTTATCAGAATTCTTTGCCACCATCACTGTCGTCATAGTGGATCTCCTACGATCGCACAGCCATTCCTCACATAGATGGCCACGGTTTATCGGAAAAACCCAACAGCCTCTAGATCAAAAGAACATCATCGGGACTAAGTACCATTATACTATTTCTGGATAAGGCGTAAAGCCCGCGGAAGAGCAGAGGTAGTTCTGTCCTATCAGTTCTCGCATGCGAAGGCGGACCTGATGGCCGCGACCTGGTCGCTTCGCATCTTCCGGGCCAGCGCGCATACCTGTTTGGGTAGTCAGAAATGTCAATGAAGGGCAAATTTGTGGCATACTCTATCAGCGGCGGGGGTGAGATGCGTGGCTCCTATTACGGTTGTCAGCTTATTGCATTATGGCTAGCAGTTACAATATTTTTACGTACCCTTGTAGATTGTTAATTGAACAGGCACTCCAAACCTCTTCATCTTTTCCGCATAGGTCTCTCCTTCGCTCCTTAGCACGTCGAGTTCTACTACACCGACCCAAGCAGGTGCCAAGTTCTTGTATACTAGTTCGTTGTCTTGAAGTATAGGCGATGCGTCTGGAATCTGTCGGTGAGCTGGGTTTGGTAGGTATATGTTACGAGCCCAAATCATATCCTCCGCACGTAGCGCAAATAAGTTCGCATATTCAACCATAGAAGCGGACCAGGTTGACGGGTCTTCAGTGTATGTACAGTCCGTGATAGGGACCATCAGCACTTGAAGTAGTATTGGAATCGGTGGGGAAGCCGCTGCAGCGCGCTGAGCGAGAACTGCCGCTAAATTGCCACCCCTGGAGACGTATAAACTTAACCAATAAGCAAAAAACCAGTGATGTGTACCTACGCAGAAGCTCCTCCGACTGCAATTTGGTTAGGATCAATACCTAGCGTTCTGTTTCCTTCTTCCCGAACCCAGGTTAAAGTGGTCCAGAGATCATTGACGGCAGCCGGAAAGGGGTGCTCAGGAGCCATCCTATACTCAATCGACATGACTATACAGCGAGCTTCTGCAATCGCAGTGTGAATGATGGAATAGGGGTGAAGTCGAAATGTTTAACTGTCCTCACCAACGCATGCCCTTGAATATGTCGACAGGCCACTATCGGCATGCCCAAAAATCCACGCCCCTCCATGAATCCATATGAAGACGGGCCAGCCGCCTTCAGGTTTATCGCCAAAAGGTATCAGGACTTTCGCTGAAAATCCATCAAATTCGATGGTTTGAGTTGCCCGAACAGGAACCCCAGTTGCCTCTCCGAGTTCCACAGGCGGAGAGTCTTTCCCAGCTTCTCGGAAGTTTGGGCTTAGAACAGGATTTTCGGGGCGTAAAAAAGGAGGCGGGAATGCAAGAGTAAAGTCTCGATACTCCGGATCAAGCCTATCGAGAACGGATCGTGGTATAGGATATGAAGGCTCCGAGGTGGGCATAGCTAGAATCAGACAAACGAGGTTCTAAAGGAGTGCTCAGTATTTGTAGCCAACCAGCATGTCAATCGTTGCAAATAAGGAGAGGCACGGCGCCCGATTGGTGTTCGAGATCGACTAAGGTGTAGCATTCGGATAATGTCCGGGAGAAACATCGGGAATTTTCATCTACAGTCTGATCGAATAGGGGCGCCAGCAAATATCGTCTGATGCTCCCAAACGAAAAGAGGATGCATTTCCGATGACATAATATATTAGTCTAGGGTCAAATGATCAAAAGCGCATATTTACATCGTGCGGAGGAAAAGTTGTGTCACAAGGGCCGACCAGGCTTCCCGGCTTGTAGATGGTGTTAACAGGACCACGGAGATGCAAAATAGAGTGAGGTAGTTATATTAAAGGAG